GGGATCCCATCCTGGATCCCATCCATCCGGTAGGTACTAACTAGCTATAGCACCCCTAGTCCATGCTTTGAATGCAGGCTATAGCCACCATGTTACTTCCATGACCACATAAGCATGAGGCGTATTTTGCTGAATGTTCCATCTTAAGTGTTGGAATCAAGTGTCTTTCTGGTTGGGCTTGTTACCCATATGCATACCTGTATCCTGGTAGCCCATCACATCAGGAACAATAGTGACCTGTGCCTGGCTCAAGTTATTAAATTGGTTCACGTGTTTCAACTTCCACAAACAACGAAATGATGAGCATGCATATGTGCATTATATAATTATACATAGCACATGATCCAAACAGTCATGATAAGCCTGATGAGTGGGGGAAGAGCTATGTGTGTACACTTAGCATGCGTGTGAATAGGATGTCCACATGAACAATAACTGTAATCTTATTGCACAAGGCCACTTCACGAATGGGAGCCAGGTACGACATGCCGCGGATGCACCATAGTAGCCCCCTATGCTTCCTCGACAGCCTACTGAATATCAGTAAACCTCGCTCGCCTTTTGAAGGAGATGTGTGTATTTACCGAGCGGTCTCCACCACACATTGACAATAAGATTTGAGTGCAAGACGTCCCCCTCCGCACTCTTCCTGGCTGACGAGGGTGGGATTTGAACCCACGCCCTTACGGACTAGAAATTTCTCATCCTGGTCTGAACCAGGTAGTCCTGAATCTAGCGCCTTAGACCGCTCGGCCACCTCGTCATGCTGTGCACGTGCACCCAGCCGATAACGTTTGTGTACACCAAAACGCAACAGACCTTCATGCATCCCTGCCGTGCAATTTGCTCGACTTTTTTCGAGTGTTAAAAAATGATGTTCGATATGAACATCAAGCATGTACATACATACAAGTTCTTGAACGGAAGGTATGTTGGTAACGGTACGTCGCATGAGCATATTATTTCGCCGACACGGGGAATCGAACCCCGGCCTCCCGCGATCCATGATTGGATGGTGTCATGACAGGCGGGGATACTGACCACTATACGATGTCGACGGAGGCACTCATTGCAGAGACAGGATAGCCGCATCCCGCTCCGCCACTCTTTCGCTACCGGGACTCGAACCCGGGTCTCGAGAGTGAGAATCTCGTATCCTAACCGCCTAGACTATAGCGAAGAATGTCGCAGCACAAGTTATCATACACCATCATAATAACGTCACACACAACACACCGACATACATGCGGGTGACAGGCGCATGCATGCATCACGTTCTCCGCAACCCTCCCCAATGAGCAATATATGGTGAGCAATTTTATATTCGTAACTGCTCC